ACAGTGAGTTCATTTATTTCTTCAATGGTCATGTAGTTCTTCTTTGCTTGCTTACGAGATAGGAATTATTCAACTGTTTTTATTTTTTTCATTTGTTAGCTGTCTTCTTTTTCAGGTGAAACTTGTACGAGTCACCAAGAGAATACACGAGGCATATTTTTGCCCAGTTACATCTTACAAAGGTAAACTAAATTTTATTGGTTCCAGGTTTGAATCACATGTAAAAATTTCTAACTTCTGTAACATTTTAAATTTTTTGACGTTATGTTCATCTTGGTTGAAGTTGGACAATGAAGCAGAGTGTGTCAGATTTGATCTGCGGCTCTCTGATGCAATTAACATTGCGGTGAGATGCAAGGTAATTCTCTGTGAGTAACTGTTAGGCATTTCTCATCGAACTACCTCATCCAAAACTTAAACTAACTCGAACTATTAGAGAGGAGTCGAATTTCTTTACTTGAATCTGTCTTCAACATTTGCCTCACTTATTGGCCAGATTCCTTTTTTATTAAAGGCCTGTCAAGTGCACAATTTCATATTGGATGGCTGCGAGCCTTGAATCCGGATCTTTATTGCCTCTGATAATATGTTGAACCTTGTTGAAAAGCTTAAGCTCGTAAAGAGAAGGCAAATTATTTAAAATTTTGTCTTCAATACTTGGTTTTTTCTTTTTCTTTCATTTTTTATGCATTTGGAGTTTGAAGTGTTGTTTTTATGGCCATTAGAAATGTTAAAACAAATTAAATAATAGTGTTTTGGTATAAGGATTCTCCAGGAAAATATCAGTGCAGTTGTTAAAAACTGTTAAAACTTCGCTTTAGAACCAGAGCTTTACCATTTTGAGGATTTATCACAAAAAAAAAGTGTACTATTGTACATTTACAGATGTAGTTTCATTATTTCAAATATGTATGGACACTGATAGGGGTTTCCTCCTGCATTTTCTATGTAATTAAATACAATCGTATGGTGTTCATTTGGGATTTTTGTTATGTATTATTATGAGGTACAGCAACTTTTTGTTTAGATGGGTGTCGTTAGAAAGTCTGGAAAATTTGTAAATAGTGAAATTGGATACAAGTTTTCCCATAGTGGTCTCTATGTCTATTTTTACAATCTTCGTAAGTTCATTTATGATGATTTCACATGTATGTAGTGGCCTTTTTTCATTTCCTGAAGGACTTGGCCTTGACAGCTATAAAGCATGCCCTTCTAGATTGAACCAATTACCATGAGTCGGATAGAATATTGCATCTTGATTTTGCCTTTTCAATATGGTTTCCCAAATCAATGATATTTTATACCGTCTTATAATCTCATAGGTGCCAATCCAAGTGAACAAATACTTGGTGTATGCAGACGGTATGAGGATTATTGAATTCGAAAACGTTTCAGGGCATAGCTCCTCGTCAGATGGCTCATTTCCTGAGTTGGACAGGTACACTTGATATCCCCAAGGACCTCTTCTTCCCCCCTGCGGTGTCTCGGCTGGACTCATGATGTTTTTGTTGCAAAAGATGCATTTTCTCTGGTCTTCAAATACGAAGTTTGGTTAGTCTGAAAGAACTAGTACTTCTATGGTCATGTTGTCGTTTGAGAGAGTGCATCAAT